AATTAATATAAATGTCACCTGAGATAAATCTAACCATAAGGTTAGATTACACAATATATATAGTCAAAAATAGGTGTGCAAAATGTAATCTAGGGAAATGTACTATTGCTGAACAAATACCAATAGTAAAAAAATGCCAGTCTTAAATAATAAATTAAAGAAAATTCAAATTCACAAAATCTATGCGAATGAATTACAGGATTACATTATTAAACAAGGAGGTTTTTAGCCTAGCAAGAGCTTATATTGGGACAAAGAGGTGATGGTAATGGAGGTGGAGGTGAGAGAACATTTTGGAAGTGTTCAAGCTGCTGAAGTTTATTTTTATTTCCTCAGTGTTTTATGGGATATCTTCCATAAGAAAATGGAATAGATGACATTCCATCCCTCCTGCCTATACACCTCAGGGTAAGTAAAGAACTGCTATGAGGCAATATAAATCCTTAGCCATATGGACTGTTTTTAAAATTACTCCTGTCTTAATTCTCAATAGCAGGAAGAGTAATCAAATCTTTAAAAACCAAGAAAAGAATGTGAATAGGTGTTAACTTCAGTTCTTTAGTGAATTTTACTTACCAACATTTTTATACTAGCTCAGTAATAAAAGTTCACAGAACAAATAAACTAACCGAAATGTTATCACTTCAGTTTTCTTATCACATCAAAATTATATTAGGAAAAGGTTTTTTCACCCAGAGGGTTGTTGGGCACTGGAACAGGCTCCACAAGGAAGTGGTTACAGCACCAGCCTGACAAGAGTTCAAGAAATGTTTGGACAATGCTCTCAGGCACATGGTGTGACTCTTGGGGATGGTTCTGTGCAGGGCCAGGAGTTGGACTCAGTGACCCTGATGGGTCTCTTCCAACTCAGCATATTCTGTGATTTCTTCTCCTAGTTCTTAAAAAAATTTGGAATAGTGGTATCTCAGTCAAATCATATTTCTGCCAACACTATGATACAATAAATAATTTTCTGATTATTGCCTATGTTCGTTCTTCTCTTAAAGTAACTTCCTATTAACAGATATGTAATTTTGTGACAGTAGGAAATAATTCAGAGCTGATGTGCGTTTATTTATTTTTAAAGGGGAAGTTTAAAACCTTCAGCTAAAAACTGAATAATAGGGAAAGAAGCATGTTCAGTCCAATTTCGGCTTGGCATTTAGCCATATGTAGTTTAACTTGAAGCTTGCCATTGCCATTGATATTCAGATGACTATTTATGTGCAATTGTTGACAATCAAGCCATTGTTTAAGTCTAGTGGCAGATCAGAGGCAGAACTCTTACCCCTTTGCAGTAAAAAAAGGCTACTTATTAAAATAATGGAACCAGTTAAACTCAACAACCATACACTTATTTATGACTTCATATGTATGTTACATACCAGATAGAACAATAATGTAGTACTCAGCTAACAGAAAAACTGAGCAGTGGCATTGCATCCATCAAGCTAAGAATGGAGGTGTGAGCTTATAACTAGAATATGAATGACAAAGTAGAAGAGCAACTCTGAAGCACTTCTGCAATAGTTTAATCAGTCTCACTCAGATATGTTTTATCTGAAAAAGAGATAAGAGATGTTGCATGGGGCTGCCTCCATTCTTGTATCCTCATAATCCCAGCCATTTATCACCTTACAGTGTTCCTGGCTATCTCAAAAGGAGTTGACATGAGAACACTTCTGTAACATGCTATTAACACATACCCCATGTATTTCTGTTAAACAAATTCCTATAAAATAAACTGAGATTTTTTTGTATGATGGTTCTCTGAAGATCAACAAAAAATATTCTTTAAATAAAACTCCACCAAAAAAAAAAAAAAAGAAATAATGGTTTAAACACTTATGTTGTGGCATCACAGACTGTTTCACCTTCACACTGCCATCTATGTACCTTATACTAAGTAAGTTTATCAAACCAGATATGTGGCCTAATTGTCTGTAGTGATCCTGATTTAGGGTCATAAATCAGGGCAAAGTAACATACATCCTGTTTCCTTGGGAGCTTAAGGAGTGAAGGAGTCCCTCTATCCAATACATAATTCATGTGGAAGATGGTGTCAGGGGGAGGATGAAGTTTAAAAGCCCCCAAATTTCTGTACAGTCATGTTACATGGAATTTCAAGAAAATACATACTTAAAAGCAAGCTCAAGGAAAGATGCTTGTGTGGCATGCATCATTCATATACTATGTAAACTAAACAGAAAGAAGAACATTGCGGGCATTCAGTGTAATTATCTCCAGAAGTTCTTGCAGCTGTTGAAATTCCTACGTAAGTACAAGGAGCTTTCCTTGAAAACCTTTTATTTTACACAGCTTAATAGAAAATTAGGCTTAATTTTGCTTTCTATAGCAGAATATAAACACAAGCTTGTTCAAGGTATTCAGCATCTGCCTGACCTAAGTTATGTGAAGGGTTCTATCCAAAGCCAGTAGGACTATTCACATGCTCAGACATCTGATTAAGTGCCTTGCTGGACCAGTGCCAGAAACATAATAGTGGGCTGGGCTAAGCTGATTAGAAATGTTTTGCTGGCTCCAGTGGTAGCAGGACCTAACCTTTATTGCCACTTTGCCAAATCTAGTGCTCAACAGGAAAAAAATCAGGCACTCTGTAGTTCTTTCTGTGTTCTACTGGGCAAAGTTTGAGTACAGAACAAATGTAGCTCATTTAGTCCTAACTGGAAATGTGTATTACTGAGAATGCATCTATTTTTCCACATGAAAATAAATTTTGTTGCTTTGTTGTAACTCTTGAAACAAAGTGTTTTTTTCTAATAGGCTGTCTAGATACAAATTTTGTCTAACTGTAACAAGGAAGAATATGGTTCATAGAAATGGTGAGGAGGATTCCTTTAAGCTTTGTGAGTTTAAAGATGGAAGATGCTTTTAATAAAAAAACTTTAATTTTCTAATTGAATGTTGTTGTAATTAACATTTGTGGAAACGAGCTAGGTGGCTGCACGGCTTTTTATAGCTGGTATAGGTGACTCGACAACGAAGGATTAACAGACAAACTGTCGCCACACAGTCCCTCTGTCTCTGGGTAAACCTAATGATTCCTGGCAGCACTCTTGCCGCAGAAATCTTTGTGCTTTTGTGATGAGAGATCATTAACAGCAGGCTGAGGAGCCCTTCCTTCCCTTGTGACAGAATTCCTAGCAGGCCTTCTGCAGCGCTAAGTCTCCGACCGACTACAAATTATCAATACTGATTACGGGATTGCTGCAGTGGGGAGGGGACGGCGTGCTCGGCACTGCAGGGCTGGCCAGGCTCCCACAGCCCTCACTTCCCTCCTCTGTTTGCATCTACAGCTGTCTCATGCCTTGTTCCCAAGGGTGCCACAGCCGCGTTAGAATGCTTTCAATCCACACCAATTGTTCCTTGGGAGCAGAACATCAGCATTCAGACAAATGCTTTGGTGTAATGCATCGGTTTCAGCCGGTGCCAGGAGGGTTTGGTGTAACTTCGTGCAGTGCGATGAAGAGTGATAAAAGAATCTGCACAAATGAAAATTTGAACAGGATTTGCTTCTTGGGGAGGACGCTAATTGTGTTCGGAGCACTTCATCCTTATTTTGTGGGATTTACGTGTGCATGACATTAATGATGAATGATTGTGAAAACTTGAGATTTGAATGCGTCAAATGCAGGTCCAGCCTCTTTCCTCTTCGAAAAGAAAGGAAAAAAAAAAATCCCAAAAACCCCCAAACCAACAAAAACCATCCCTAAGGAGCGTTAGGGACTGGACGCTTTCAGCAGCCAGACTCCAAGACTCTTCTCCCTCTCCTTCCACACCCTCACTGAGATTTTTCGCCCTCCCTACCCAGCAGCCTCCCTCGAACAAAGGGGCCAGTGTGGGGCTACCGCCCTTCGCTCCTGCCGGGACCAGCAGGACCCGCAGGACCCGAGGGGAACGCGCTCCCCAGGAGCCGGGAGCCCTCCGGGGCCGGGGCTGGCGGAGGAGCCGCGCCCCGCCCGGCGGCTGCCGGGCCCGGCGGGGTGGGCAGGGGCGGCGGGCGGCGCGCCGCGGCGGCAGGGCGCGGCTCCTGCGGGGGAGGGGGATGCTCGCCCTGCCGCTGGAAAACGCGAGGTAACAACAGCCCCGGCAGCCGCCCCCCGGGAGAGACAGCAGGGCGGGCACGGCTAGCGCAGACCAGCTCTCCGTGATGCAGTGACCTACTTCGGCCGGCCCCCCCGCCCCCCCGGCAGACTGCAGGTGCGGGCAGCGCCGGGGCAGTGCCGAGCGCGGCTCCTTCTCGCCCCCTCCCGCAGCCCCGCGCCGGGCCGGGCTGGGCCGGGCTGGGCTGGGCTGGGCGCGGCCGGCCGCAGTGCGCGCCCGGCAGGGTCCTCCCGCCGCAGCGCCCCCCGCCCCGCACCGCGGCCCCGCCGCCCGGCCCGGCCCCGCCCGCAGCCCCCGACCCGCGCCGAGCCCCTTGCGGGCGGCGGTGCCTCTCCCCGATTCCTCTGCTCTTCTCCCCACGCGGTTTCAGAGGCAGAGGGGAGCGCTGACTCCGGCCGGCGGGGACGGGTGGAGGCATATTGACGGCAGGGATAACTTTACCGTTCGTTTTTGGTTTTATTTTCTTTCTTTCTTTTTTATATATATACATGTACACACACACACACACATATATAATATCTATCTATATCTGTATAATATATATGTGTGTATATATATATATATATATAAATAAAATATCTATTCACCTTTAAAATAATGAAAACCGTTTCAAAATTACGCTGTGCTCTTGTGCCGACCTCACCCATCGGTATATAATTAATCCGATCTCCAGTTAGGATACTAAAACAGCCCCGTGTCCCACCCACCCTCTCCGTTTTTCTCTGATCAATGAAATTAAAAATATGTTCAGTGTTCTCTTGATTTTTTTTTTTCCTAAACTTTTGGGAGAGCGAGAAGAACACCCAGTGTAGGTAGCAGACCTAGGAGACAGCGGCCGTAGTACTGGCTGAAGGAAAAGAGAGGCGTTTTCTTACCCATTGCTGTTTTAGCCATGCTGGGATGTGCAGCTCTCAGAGGCGGTGAAGGCAAAGGGTCCAGCTACAGCAGTGGAGAGAGGGAGAGAAGACTGAATAAGGCACTGAGTCAGCAGAGTGGGGCTGTGCAAGAGAAGGAGCAAGAGGCAGGAGCCCATGAATAATTATCACTCCTCTACCCAAGCAGATTGGCTCGAGAGGTCCCCTGACATGACTCCTGCAGAGCCAGAATCTCCGGGCATTAAATATTGATCCACCAATGGTGCTGGAGTACAAAGTGCCAGAATGCAGTTTGAAATGGAAATCAGTCCTTGGATGCTTCTCCCCCCTCGGTCTGGTGTTAATAGTACATTCCATGTCAAATGTTTTATGTCTTACATGAAAAAAGCCTATTGGTGTTGAGGGCTCTGCTGTTGCTACCTGTAAAACATGCACAAATTCATTTTAACATATTTCATTCCAAAGAAACAACAAGAAGAGAGACCATTTTAAGGGATTTCCTAGACCATTTCAGTAAAACAGCTGCTCAGATTATTTTTGCCTCCTGCAAGGGTGCACAGATATCCTATATAATAGTTTATTCTGAATGTTTCTGCATTTTAGTACCTTTTTTACTGTTTACTGTACCCAGACCTAACCTTAGTCATCTCAAACTTTTCTTAACCTTGTGAAATGGACCTGGTTACTCTCGAAGGGCTCTGGAAATCCCAGAAGAGGATAAATGTGGACAGAAGTCAGTAACTACTTCCCCAGTGCACTGTGGTAAAAGTCACTGGGAAGATGTGAGCTTGATTCCCTTGATAAAGTGTGCAGGATGGGATCTGATATGGTCATTACATGAAAAGGGATGGACACATTCTAAGAATTCCCTACACTAATTTTAAGAATTCTCTGTCCCTGGCAAGAGGAAATCCAATGACATAACTGGCAGCCACCAAACAAATGTGGTAGAGGTTAATTGAAGCATTGCTAGAAACAGGGCAGCGATGGGACCTGTTTGTACACCTTCTGGGCCTAGAAGCGGTTGCTGGGCTAGAGGAGCCAGTATCCAAGACCTTGGCACAAAGAGAGGGATGCTCCACCTTTACCTTCTCATCTGACTGTCCAGCTGGAGCTCATTTGCCTCTCCCAGGGGATCACCAGCCTTACTGTTAAGAGCTTTCAGAGATACCAGACTGCTTCCAGACAGGGCACTGGGCAAATTCTCAACTTGCAATGTGGAGGACACTACTTGTAGATGCGTTTCATGGTATGTATATGGGTGGGTGGGAAAAGCAGGGCATTGGTCCTGTTGTTCTTCTTTGTGTGGGGCTGCTTGCAGCTGCTCAGCCCACACTGTGTACCATCACTAACTGTGATGTTCTCACTCTGTGTGTGCTTCCCTGGAACAGGTAACTCACAATTATGCTTCCCAAGCTTCCTTGAAGTCAGTGAAGAGCATCTTTGAATGAAGCATCACCCGGAGCATGGGCATAAGGCTAGCTTTCCCTTTTGAGACAGTAATGAGGACACTAAAAACTAAACTTGGTTTATCTTTAAATGAGAATGTGAAGTCTGGAAGTGAGTCTGGGGAGAGAAACATCCCCATGCACAGACACCAGCATGTGAGCTGAGGCGGGGCAGCCGCTGGGGCTCCCTGCCGAGGGGCAGGCAGGGGGGATGAGGACAGGTCTATCGGGACGCAAGGCCGACCCACCCTCCTGAGAGGCCCTGCCCGCGGGGAAGGCAGAAAGGCGGCCCCGGGACCCGGTGGCTTTCTAGGGTGTTTCACTTCTGGGCCTGCGGTTCTGTGGCTGCGTAGGGGCGTTGGTGAGCAGGGGATATAATGGATGTCTGTGGTAAGAGGAGCTTATTCCCGAGAGGAAATGGTGAGCAACGGCGCAGTGCTCCGCATACAAGGACGGCCTCGCCCCTGCCGCGGGACCCGCCGAGGCTGCGGTGCCGGGCAGGGGCGGTCCCTGCGGGCGGGGCGGGCCGGGCTGCCCGGGCGCTCTCCGCGGTGCTGGAGGCGGCGGCTGCCGGGGCCGCTGCAGCCCGAGGGGCGGGGGCGGCATGGGGCAGGGCAGGCACGGCGGGGCCGGCAGGGGTCGGACGGAGGCGGGAGACGGGCCGGGCAGGGACGGACGAGGAGGGGGCAAGCAGGGATCGGTGAGGCCGAGCCCGGCCCCGGGGAGCGGTGTCGGTCTGGCTGCCGGCCCCGCCCGGCCCCGCCGCTCCCCGTGGTCCTGATGCCTTCCCGGCACCGGTGCTCGGCTTGGCTCGGCTCGGCTCGGCTCGGCGGGGCTCAGCTGCCCGGGGAGGGACGTGACACCGGGGCTGCGCTGACACAGAGCATCTCTGCTCGGCTCCCCATCCCCCGCCCGGCACGCCCAGTAGGCAGCGGACCCTCCCCGGCGTCTGTCTCTTCTATGTAGTTGATTTTCCTGTTCCGAGCTAAAGCAGCGGCACGGCAGAGTGGGAAGGCTCCCCTGCCCTGGCGGGAGGGACCTCGCTTCCCGCTCCCTTCACCGCCTCTGCCCGATGCCCGGGTGCCCCAGGCCGGGCCGGGACTCCTCGCAGTCCTTCGCGAGGGAGCCGGCGCGGATTGTCGGGCCTGGGGGACGTGGGACGACGATGACAGTTCAGGTCTCCCCCAGGAAGCAGTTCCGGGGGTGGGGAGTGCTGAGAAAGCGATGCAAGAAATTGCTTGGCAATCACTGTCATGTCAAACCTTGGCATGTACAGGAGTAGTTATCAGACATCTCATACATCATTTCTGTTCCACTGGCTGCCACTTTTTGATGTTCTGTTTCACATAAATTTTATGGGAGCATGAATTAAACTCCAGCATGTCCTAGCAAGGCTAGGACTTTCTTTCACCGTTTGTGCCTTTTCTTGATTGACATTAAAATGCATTTGCAGACCAGGCTACCTCCAGGCTGTACAGCTCTGTGTGTGTAGCCATGTGCTACTGGGCAAAACACCCCTGAATTGCTTCTGAGCAGCAATGGGGCATAACTGTGGCTTTCATCCATTTTTTTTAGACATTTATCTGGCCATGAACATATAATTGAAAACCTTTTGTTCATTTTCCCCATTTGTTCTTTTCTCCATTTGTTAGGAAAGATTTTACTTTTTACCCCATTGCAGACAAAGGAGAAGGGGAGATGGCACTGCAAAGAAAAAGGTTTGCACAGCACTTTGAAGGCAATTGCTGCTAAGTAAATGATCTGCATTGGCACTGAAATGTGAATCACAGAGATGGGAATAGGTAATGAATCTCTTTTTCTGTGGCTGTGCTATGTGGCTGACTGTGGCTTTGCCACCTTGTTTAGTTTTTTTAAATAACCTGAAAAGTTAGCTTTTTCCCTAGGGCATTTTGGGACAATTGTTTACACTTAGCCTTTGTCATTAGGAAATGTAATGGACCTCATTTAGGGGAGCAGATTTTTTCCTATTTGTTCACTTCTTCTCCTTCTTTAGGCCTTCAAGAGTGATTTCTCTTTGTGTCTATTAAATTTGAGAAAATTAGGTAGTAATTAGTTCATTATTATTACATCTTTGTTACTTTTACATCCTCACCAAAACTTATGATAAAAGATATAGTTCAGACTTTACGAAGTCTTCAAAACTCAAAGAAGAATGGTGCCTATACAACCTTAATTACTCTTCCAATGCATTTATATAATGATAGAGTTTTAGATTGTACGCTCACATGCTATGTTTTTCTCTCTACATACATAACAAGATGCATAGTAACCCCTTTTTGAGCACTATTTGATATTTTATTTTAATTTTTTTCTCATAAAAAAGAACCTTGACACAGTCCTCTGTGCCCTTGAAAGCACAGGTGCAATAAAGATTTTCTTGAAGGAATGTTTGCCAGAATAATTTCCTACCATGGGTGAAAAAAATCATTTGTTTTGCCTTATTCTTCACAGTAGGTTAACCACAGATTAGAAGATGTTAGCATAGTTTATTATTCAGTAAGTAGATAAGCAAGCATATTTTAATGTGAAATTTAAAGAGAGAAGACTCCAAATATATGCATGTGTGATTTTCATAATCTTTGTAACATTTGGAATTTTTTGGTAACTTTTTCTGAAGTTTTCTGTAGAACTGTATAAATATACCAAGCAGGTGAAAAGATTAGCTGTGAACTGAAAACACAGGGAGAAAGAAAGAGCAGAGATATACATGTATGTATGACTGTCTTGTATCTGAAGCATGGTGACCATTTTCTTCTCAAATTGTATCTTTCTTATCCTTTCATTTCCCTATGTAACACTTGTGCTATGACAAATTACGCAGCAGAGTACTGTTACATTCCCATTAGCATTTCTCTGCTTCTGAAATTGTGCTTTTTTTGCTGAGCACAGCCTATCTAAAAATCATCTTGTAAAGAAGCTTGGTAGTGACTTGATAAGCCAGCTGCAAACAATGTCACCATTAGTGATTTTGGTTGCTGCTTGTTCCACACACATGTTGGAGTAAGGCAGCTTTAGAGCTCGCCTGGTTTCATGCAGGCTTTTATTCTTGCATGGCAGCACGTGGTGCTCCTTTCAGCATTCAGGATCACTGTGGGGAAGCTGAATAATGGTATTATGGCATTTGTGGATTTTTAAAAAATTTTCGTAGAAATCTGTAAGCAATGGCTTAATGCTAGCATGGGTATTGTACATAATGAGATCTCCCTCAACAACTGTGTCCATGAAATGTGAGCTAGAGCTCTGCAAGGCCACAGGATGGGAGTGACTTGGTTGCAGGTAGATCTGTGTCAAAAATATATAAACCATAGACTTGGTGGGCAAAGACTGGGTAAATTAAGGTGGAAACCAATTACATAATTCTGAATGAGGATAGCATGTGCATGAGACCCTGAGAACTCTTGTGTGGAATTAAACCAAGGAGCCATCTACCTAGTAGTCTGGAAATTGCATATCCTCCCCTTCCAAGGCCTTGCCAGATAGAAGAATTTTCTAGTCAGTGACATTCTCAACTTGGATGAACCCCTCACAACCAACTCTTGGACAGGGCAGCTTGGAGGGGAATCTCTGTGCCTGTGGAACAGTTTTGGTTTTCTCATCCTGACCCATCTTTGTGTTAGCCACCACTGGGCAGCCTCCCCACATCCTTGTACATGTTCAGTGTGCTCACAGAAGTGCTGTTAGAGATGCTCAGCCTGATGTCTCCATGCGAATCCTTACAATTGTAATTCTCTGACTCTCTCCTGCCTTCTTGATTCCACGTCCGTATTCCCTTGCTTAAAAAAAAAAAAAAATTATCCATGATTTTTCTTCCTCAGTTCACTCTTCACAGGTAAAGTCTTATTTTTGGTTTTTGTAATGGGATGAGCTTGTCTTTGAAATGGGAAAATTTATAGGAAGAGCAGCCACAAGCACAGGCCAAGGAGCAGCAGCAAGCTCCTGTTATTCTCCCAGTATATGCACTTTGAGGCCTTCCTGTAATCTCTAGACATATAGTTGCCTACCCTTTAGTGCATCTTCTTTTTATCATCACTGGCTGCAGGCAAACTCTGGGGGAAGGCTGACAGTAGGAAAAGCACTTGAAGAATTTCCTTAGGGTTCAGTCTAGTCACTGACTGCTCTTAGGAATACCTGAACTTAACGCAATTTTGATACTCAGTAGCCTTTGACCAATCTTTTTCCTTCTGTGGTATCCGCAGTGTCTCATGGAAATCTGTTCCACATAGCAGTTCCTTGCTGTGTGAAGAAGTCTCTTCTTTTGTTTGTACTGAGCATGTGTCCTACCAAGACCTGTTATGTTTATCTTGATGTGGGATACCAACTATTCTTTCAGCCCTAGAATCATAGGGTCATTCCCTCTTTAAAGTAAAAGTTAACGGAGGGAGGAATATCAGATCCATCTATACTTTTAAAAATGGGAGAAATAGGTGATACAGAAGGAGTTAGATTAGGCTGATGGGGAACAACACCATCTGCTGCACCTCAGTGTTTCACAGTGAAATTTCCCTAGAAAAACAGAAGATGTCAATGATCAGCAGACCAAAATCACAAGCCATTCCAAGACCAGGAGGCCTGGTTGGAAAGTGTCCTCCTAGTGCTCTATCCAAATAAGGTGCATCCTGACATGGCTCTGATTTGCTTTCCTGACTGTAATTTTCTGAACAGCAAAATTCCTCATGTTATGTGAAGTCAACAACAAAATCATGCTGTAAAGTGCCTAATTCACTTTTCTCTGTCTCGCTTACTGCTTGCTGTGAGAAAGTGCTGAGCTATTTTAACTTTCTTTTGCTCTTCTTTGAATTGATTAAGTTTCTTGTTACCATTGGCTGGTTATCAGCTGTTTCATCATGGCTTTTTCCCATACACCTTGGAGAAGACCAGCAGATATTTTGCTGCTCCAAGGTATTCTAGACCATTTTTCTCTATGTAGTCAAGCATATTCATAGATATATTTGTTTTAGGGCAATAAGTGTTATATTGTTGTCTGTCAAATAAAGATAAAGTTTTTGATACCAGGCCCATAATCTATTCTTTCTGCAACTAAAATTTATTTTGACTTAGTGATTTAACATGCAAAAAAACAGATGATGGTAAAGTAAAAATATGCTGAGGTTAGATAAAATAGACTTTAAAGGTATTAGCTGAAATCTTAGTGTGAAATTCACACTTAGAAGGAAACAGTAGCAGAAAATCACTTTGAGAATGAAGTGTAAGATAACTTTTTTAGTTCTAGTCTTGCTTTTAGTACATTAAAATGTTTACAGGAAAATTCATTTAACAAATGTTTGTGCTTATGGCTTCGCCAGACTTCATTATCTTAATCTGATATTTTTAGTGTTGTTTGCCCCTTATTTTTTTTAGCAATGTCAGAGGACTGAGAGCTGATCAGGGAAATAGGAAAA